AAAATACCTTTCTTTGTTGATGGTCAACTGACGCAATTATAATGGAAAATGTTCCTTCATGGGGACAAAAAAAAAAATCCCCCGAGTAACAGTAACAGCCATTAAGTAGGGCCGTCACTTCACCGCTTCGTCGGGAACTTCCTCGCTATAAATCAAAATCTGCTTTCTGTGGATAGTTATCACATTTTGGAATGACGATTCTATGCCGGGCAGCTATACCTTTGTCTTTCGTGGCTCGGGATTGTAACCATGGGGGTCTGTCCTGCTCGTGAGGAGAGAAGCAAAGATCCTCCATCATAATCTTTAGAAGTGTTTTATGGAAACCAATCATGACAATTTACGAGTAGAGAATTTGTCTCGTTTTACAAAAAATATTTTTAGAAATATTTTAAAAGTTGTCAAACACTCCCTTAAATCCATGCTGCTAAATGACTGCAAATCTAGTATTCACGAGCCAGCTAGTCAGTTTCATGGTGCTCATGCAACCATCGTCCCATGGATCGATACTTCACACGATGCTGTGCAGCGAGCAATTATAACATTCTTTAAGATCGTCCCATCTGGGCCCAGAATATGTTGGTCATATGCAAAATATTTCCCCACCACACTGGAAGACTGGGCAGAATTATATTGGAGGCTGATGATGGGATTTTTTTTCGCAGTATATCTATGAAAAAAGGGGGAAGGGAAAATTTTATTCTATGCCTTAGGTACTGGCTGGAATGAAAAAAGGGGGAAGGGAAAATTTTAATGAAATCTATTTAAAAAATTAGAGAAATGAGATTTGTTCTTTTTCCTTTTCGTAACAGTCGGACCCTTGTACACTCATATCGGATCTGTGTGTTGAGAAAGCACATGATCAAACCTGTGTCTGTAATTTCACATAACCTTGCCATGTAGGATACAGTTTTCTCCGTATATGATATTTTTACCTAGAAATTGGGCCAGACTCTTGGATTACAATTATGTGGTAATGGAAGGGCAACTTTACTTGTGTTGCCCCATTACTTGCTTAGTTCAGTTCAGCTGGCACAGACACTCGTAACTGTTTCAGTCTTTCACCGTTTCAAATTTACTATTATTATTTTAGGATGTCGTATATGGAGCAATAATGAAGGAAGAAAGGGTACGATGAGCGAAGGAAATTGAGGAAGGTTGGACGTCGTTGCCGAATTTAAATAATGGAGAGGTGAAAACGACACGGGAGATAAAGAAAGGCACGCGCACAGGCGGTGCAGCTTATTGTCACATGACGCTGCTGTGCTGTGACCCCTTCACGCCTCCTCCTCCATTTATTGGCCCAACTACACAAATACCATTACAAGCACAGCATCACTCTCATTCATCAATGTCTCTCCACCCCCCCCCCCATTTCTTTCTCTCTATGCATTTGCTTATTGCTCCTGATGTGACTTGTCCTCCCTTTTCTTGTTCTTTTCTCCACTTTCACTGTAATACTCTTTTTTGTCTCCTTTTCATGTCCTCTAATTTTCTCTGCTCTGTTGGGCCTCCCCAGCATTTTAAATGGGCTTCCATGGCCCATCTAACAAATGAGTTCAGAAGATCACGGTTCTCGGGCCGTCGCCTAATCTGAAAACGATGCCGCCACTCGGCCGGTTCCAATGTCTGCGATCCACGAAAGGCAAATCACTAGGCTACCAGAATCGTGATTTCTTTTCTCGGCCTTACTTGAAACAATGCCTGGGAAGATTTCATCTTTGGTGGTCGATCAAGGATTTGGGTATCTAGAATGAATTAGTTAGATTGCCTTAAAATATAAATTAATTAAAGACTGATGAATGGAGTTGCTGGCAGAAGTCCAAGATTTCAGAGCCAGACATGGAAATTTTACCTGTAGATTGCGAATAAGGGCGCAGAATGACGGCCGCCGACTAGTCATCGATTTCTTAATGCATGCTCACCTCCCCGCCATGCCAAAATGCACCGGCACCGTCTCCATCGCCGCAAACGGAGATCATAGAGAAGAACCAGATAGAGATGGAATGGGTTCTTTGCATTGCTAGATTTTCACACGTGAAAATATCTGCTCATCTTATATTGCATTGGATAGCCCAGGGGAGCTGCTCTTTACCTGCTTAATCATGTCGCAAGGGAGCTCTCAATTTCGCTTCAGTTTCCCAATCACGTGGGGGCAGGTGAAATCCGGTGACTATGTGGGTTGATTTGGAACGGCATACTTGGGATGGTCTGGCCCAAAATTATACGGCTATCTCCTAAAAAAACTCGATCATGCGACTGCGAACGGAAAAACACTTGATGTGCGGTTAGTCTTTAATGCTTGATTATATCATGCAAGTTACATGATTATATTCTGAGTCTTCCCTCTGCACTGATCAACATGAGCTCTCTGCTCTTGCTTTCTTCCCTTTCATTTCCTTTTTGTGCAGTGAGAGTTTATTTCCTAGAGGTGCGTGTTGTCGGGGGCCATGACTTGTAGATTGTGCTTTATAATTAAAAGCTTGCATTTTCTTATGTGCTGGGAGCGAAATTGCTCATCTACTAGTTTCATATACTTGGGGCCTGGCAGAATGAGAAATTGCTTGTGAAATTATTATACATGGTGGCGCAGGTAAAATATGTGATGAAGAAACAAGATGAGGTTCCCATTTGCAGGGAAGGAGATCTAATCATGGATCTTCTCGTGGAGCTGACAAGCAAAGGATGTGGGTGCCTGCTCGTAATAGACGAACAACATCGTCTGAGTAGGACATTTACGGATGGTGATCTTCGACGCACTCTCAAAGACAGTGGGAGGCCATCTTCAAGCTCACTGCGGGGCAAATGCGTAACAGGTAACCAGAGACAACATGTTGATTTTTGATGTGTGTGTTCTTGTTGACGTAAATTGTTGCTGTTGTTGGGGGGCATGAGGGTGGCAGGAATCCAAGAGCGATTAGTCCAGATGCGATGGCGGTGAAGGCCATGAAGAAGATGGAAGCGCCGCCATCACCTGTGCAGTTTTTGCCGGTCGTCAGTGATGAGAATCTCCTGATTGGCATTAGCACGTTGCATGAATTGGTTTCCGCTGGCCTCTGAAACTAAAACTCGTATGCTTGCCTTCCTCTTTTTTCACGTTCATCCCTCTGGAAATGCAATTAAAACTCGGAGGATATCAATTGTCACACTGCTCACTCCATGTCGCCGGGTGCGCTGCCTTTGGGCATCAGAGGAGAAACAAGCATCCATGCCCGCTACCCTTCACGTGTCTAACAACAGCCATTTCGTCCATTCTTTCCTCTCCACCACACATGTAAATAGACCGCTTACGTGTTCTCCTCTTGGTTTCAATCTCTGCACCCAGACTCAGACCTCAGAAAAGGTTCAAGTTAGACTGACATGTACATGCTGTCAGCTAACGCATGGATGAAAATACACGTTAAAAATTATAATAGTTGAATAAGTGGATCTTTATTGGGCCTAGGGGCCCTTTCTTTATTGGGCTTATATTTGTTGAAGGCCTATCACGGAACAGATACTAGCCTATTTGAACTAACTATCCCATCTATGATTACCAAAAGACAAAAAAAAAAAAAACTTGTCGAATCTATGTCTTCCCCCATTCCAAAACAAAACAATAAAGTTATTTTAGCCGCGGGTTACAGTCATTGCTGTTGCCTGTTAATCATTGCCAATTACCACCCTTCATAATTCACCACTCTTGACCGTTGTTGATTGCCACCAACCATCATGAATAGCTGTTGACTTCAGCTGACCGTAGTTGTCACACTGTATTAACTACCAATCATGGGTGAGCCGTTGGGGGGGGGGGGGGATCGCTGGTATGCTCTCAATCTTGTCAAGTGGATTACTACTCATTCTATCCTAATTATAAGTTTCAAATTTGAGAAGGAGTGTGGTAAATTTTATAAGTTTTAATTTGAGTTTATCTTTAACATTTAATGTATTTTTTTTAATATTAGTCTTCATTATTTCTCTCTTATTACATTTTTCCATATATTTTCTTTCATTCTTTTTTCTCATTTATTATAAGAGCATATTTGAAAACAAAAATCTATTTTCAACCTGTTTATTGTTTTCAACAAATTTTAACTATTTATTAATCTATAAATTAGTTATTTAAAATTTTTAATAAAAATCAGATGAGTATTTACTTAGTGTTCAATATTGTTAGAAGTAAAATATTTTATTCTACTATTGGCCCTGCTTTTCTACGAAAAGAACCAAAAAGATCAATCATTATGCCAAAAGAAATCTAAACACTAGATCAAATATTTTTAAAATTCACCTGTTTTCTTCTTCCGAGTCCTAATTAATATTATGTGATTTGGTCAAACTCCTCGGAAAAATAAAAAATATTAAGGGTTAACAGGGAAACACACACTCACAGAGCGCTGATGATTTGGAAGAAATGAGTCCCGAATATGGGGCCTCGATTTAGAAAGTCGCTGTAATAATTTTTTCAAAAAGAAATTAATGGATGAGATCGATGTATATATAATCATATCAGAAAAATTAAATTAGGGCTCCCAATATCAGTTGTGAGCCGATGGTTGAAACAAAAAGCTCTGTGATGTCCCACGCACGCGTCTTGATACAGCTGCCATCACAAAAGCCTATTTGCTGGAATAAAATAATAATGGCGATGAGAGACGAGAGAGGCAGAAAGCTAAAAGCGATTTAGGAATCAGACCAAAGAATCTTTCTTAATTGGACGACTCCCCAATTCTCCATGTGCATAAAAAGCACTTCCAGTGGATTGCAGCTGTACAAATAAGAGTCAAAGTATAGCAGACATCAAATTGAATTTGCTCCACTCGCTCTTCACTCCCAAATCCACTTGTTACTCCTTTTCCTTCTCTCTTGCTATTCCATGCACGCCCTTCGCTTTATTACCAACCCTATCCAATTAGCTCTTCTTTGTCTTGTGCACATTAATTATAGTTACGTTTAACTTCTGACCTATATCACCGGAAACGAAGCTTCATTAATTAGGTGGATCCAAGTTGGGTTGCCATATCTCGTACATATTAATACCACAGTACATGATGATTAATAAAACAGTGAGCATTTTTCTGATACTGATAAATGCACTCGAAATAAAAGGACGGTCTCTATAGGTGCTAATGGGATAACTAAATTACACTGAAGGAAGGGGGGGGGGGGAATCTCAAATCGACCTTATACATAATACACTAAGCACTTGAACAGTATGAAACAACCTTAAAAACATCTTGCAAGTTCAAATCAAGCATCTGACCTCTCCCTCAAAGCCAAACTTAATGAACACATATGTGCATTTTTTCACAAATAAACAATTTTTGGTAATTTGCGTGATATGAACCAGACATGTACAGCGGCGCACAATTTTATAACACAACCATACTATCATCATCAACGTCGAATCTCATTCCGTCCAGGTGTACTGAGGCCACGCCATTGTGGTGGTTGCTGTTTTCTTCCATGTCCACGTCCCACAAGAACCCATGATCGTCATATCCAATAGGATCGCCTTTTGGAATACTTTGAGTGACCGTACTGGCCATGTTTGTTTCCCGAGAAAACTGAAGGAGATTCATTAGAGAGCCGTTTTGGTTCTGGTATTGGTAATCAGGGGGTGGCATGGACGTGAAAGCGGTGAAGCCAGGAGCCTCAGTTTGATTGGTCGTTGGAGATGAATTACAAGGAAAAGTAAACGAAGGTGCGGTCTCAAACATGTCCCGTGGGCTGAGTTTGGCGCTACTGTTGTCTGCTCTGCTTTTGTGAAATACTCTACACAAAACCCAGTCCTCCTGTGTAATCAACAAAAGTTTGACCTAGTTAGGAAAAATTAATGTAAACTCGCGTGCTATACGCTTGAAATTAAACAAGCTTAATCCTTACTCCTAAACACTAATTATTCCGTCGCTGGCAGACATTAATCTGAAACGGGCAGGAAGTAGACAGCCCTCACATCTATGTCTCTCTTTAACTCATGGAAGCAAAAAATACGCGTTTGATGGATGAATTAGACATAGATAATTAAAGTACTGGTGTTTGTTATCACATCATTGGATACAAAACCGTGGAGAAAATCAATCATCAAATCATATATGGATTGTGATATAGGGTCTAATAATTGAATACACATTCTCTCTATTCAGAGAATTGATTGGTTTCTCATTAATGATCAAATCATAAGGACACGCGTACGTTAGTTAAAATGGATCCTGATTATAACAGGTAGCACGCATCCAATTAAAAATTCGTGATTGTACACTAGTAGCTAGCTAGGGTTAGGCTTATAGTAATGATGGGGGAGTTTGAAAAAGGAAGAATTGAAGAAGGAATCAAATTACCTTGGGGGGCATGTGTGGGGTCTCCAAGCGGAATTCATGCATGATCCAACCGGTTTTCATACCATTGGGGGCTCTGTTCCTGTAAAACACCAACGTCTTCCTCATCCCTACCACCTCGCGTGTCATTGGGTCCAGCACGGTCCTGTCCTTCCCTGTCGCTTTCCAATATCCAGATGTCGTCGCCCTATTCGTCCGAAATCCTGTGGCGTATTTACGGTCTCGGAAGCTGAAGAAGTACCATTCGTTTGCGTTGAGCTTCGCCACCTCTTCAGTAATTAACCATCCACCCACACACCGTTAGTCAGATTTTTGCACCACACATCATAAAAACACAGACATATAAATGAGATACAAGCACATAAGATATACTACATATTATCAAACACATACCTAAGTTTGCTTGAGGCTAATATATGCATGTATATATATATATATATATATATGACATGAGATATGAAGAGTTGAACATATTTTTATAATTTTATTTAACTCAAATACTATAGTTTTTGCTTCCACTATGCTGCGTCAGAGTATGAGAACTAATTAATAATTTACGCAAGAAAAAGATCAAGTTTCATTTGATGTGTATAGAAAGATTCACTTTTGGAGTGTATATATATGATTGCTGATTATATGTAAGAATGTTAAGGAGTCAATATCACCTAGATAGTGAGTCATTCCCAATAGAAAGGTAATTTATGGTATATGCACTGTATTTTATACGTTCTATTATAGTATTATGGAAGCTAAGGTGTCACACCAAAGGCCCCAAAAAAAAAAAAACTGAGCACAGGTGGTGTATATATAGAAGTATATATACAATGAACTGCAAAAATCAAAGGGAAAATTGAGTACTGTATTGAACCATAAGCTGACGTATCTTACGGACTAACTAGTCTTAGCCTCAATTATATTCAGGAAACACTTGCCGCTCCAATTAACAATTGGTAAATGAGTTCAAACAGTAATTTTGTATAGAAATACGATAAAGTATGTATGGAACAGATAAGGAAGAATCTGATGCATGCGCATGTAATATGGCTGTGTGTGTGTGTGTATTAAAAGGCAGTTATGGCATATGTGGAACAAACAATAACGAAATAGATCACCTATTAAATTGCACATGAAAAGTTCCCATCCAAATTGGCCATGCAAGTAATAAATGCATTTGTTTTCATACTTATAGTAATATATATATATATATATATATATGTAAACAATCAAGTTAGAGAGAGAAAGAGAGGCCATGTCCAATAATTGGGTCACTTCTCCCACCGCCATCTATTTGAATATCCAGAACATATAGAACATATGCTTAGTTTAACTGAAGCAAATAGTATGAATCAATATATAAAACAACGGAGACTACGATGAGGGAGAATACCAGTGAAATAAACTTGGTGGCGATGAGATTGCAACACAACTCCATACAAGGTACATATGCTAGAATTGTATATGTATATAAAACTATGATATAATTAAAGATCGGAGAGATTTATAAATTGCCAAATATTTCATTACCTGGTTGGCGTGCATTCCATTGTCCATTAAAAGAACTGAGTAAACTATACATATATATATAAGATCCCTCTCTCTCTTTCTGTCATTCTTCCTCTCTACTGGAAACAAATTTGTCCGCTTACATATTAATTGCGGATTTGACAGACATCCATATGCATGTCTTCCTGTTATGGAATTTTCATTAATTGCCTTGCCTCCTTTGGTTGGAGACCATCTTATCTGAATTAAATACTTTAATATTAAATTATCTGGTTCATGAGACGACCAGGATTATAGCTCAAATCTTTTCCCTCAGGTGACGCACGCACGCGATCCTCTTGAAAAATATGCAAGAGTTCACGCGCAGACAGACAAATATATGTATATTTTTTCACGAACAAAAATGAATTCGACCGGATAAGAACTAAGCTAAGGAAGATAACGTAAGACACAGAGAGAGAGAGAGAGAGAGAGAGATGTGAGATATGTACCTGGAAGCTGCCATGGCTCGCATGTATGCAAGTCTATTTCGATCAAAGTACCCCTGAGAATTTCCTCATTCACGATCTTCTTGTAGAGGTAATGACACACCAACTCTTCATCGCTCGGATAGAAACGAAACCCCGGAGGAAGTGATGCCCCTATGTCTCTCAGACCCATTTTCTCTTATGCTCTTTAAATTACACAGCGAAAAAGAAAGAGAGATAGAGAGAGAGAGAGAGAATTAATAAGGTGGATATAGGCCTGTGGATGTATAATCTATCAATGAAGCTTTGAGAAATAATACTTGATCTGGGTATTTGAAATATATATTATGAGGTAGGGGCAGAGAGGTTGGTCCGGCGTATATATATACTCAGGTTTTGTTAGGAAGATGTAAGAGACTTTACCGTTCAGAGGAAATTGTTAATATTCTGGCTAGCTTAGCTTGTGACCCTGGGGTTAGTTATAGCGGGAAGTTTCAAGAAAAACCAAAGCTGCAAGAAATCTCTGTACCTATTCGGAGTTCAACACATTTGATATGCTCATCATTCACATGCGACAAAAACCCCTCCCGCATAATTCTGAGAGAAACCCTCCAAAATGCTCCTTTTTTTATTTGTATTATTAACAAAGTTATCCCCCACCCTCCTATTTTTCTTGTGCTAGAGGAGAAACTTTTTATTATATAACGGTATGGTTAATTACAAACATTATATATCTTATTCTGCAGCATATCACGGACGCGCACAGAATATCCACCAATATACATATTTAATATTACCATGCTGGAAATAAATATCTATCCAATATTCGTTACTTTAATTGCTTTTCTTTAATTCTTTAATTTTAATCTCATCAACTTTCATTGCAAATTGTTTAGATATAATTTGATCAAATTGTCAAGTCTGTTGCCTTGGACTAACCAGTCCAACACTTTTCTGGCTTTATTCTTTTGAAGATTTTTAGGTCTCTCCGCCGTAAGGTAGCTTATTATATTTGAAGTGTCCCCAGGATCTAAATCTAGATTTCATTTTTCTTCTATGCTGCTGTCTCTGACACCTTTTGTATATATTTTCCATATTTATGCTGTCCGTGACTCTAAGTGAAAAAATTATAAAAGACAAGTTTTTGTTAGGTTATCAACATATATATCAAAAGTCCAAAATTAAAGCGTCACAAGTTGAAACACATATTTAATTAAAAGGCTTAAACTATGACATAATTCTACATCAGTTATATATCTAAAACCAAAAACTTTACATGAAAAACGAAGTAGCCAAATGATAGATCCCAACACACACACACAGATAGACATATCCATGATTTCAAGTTATTAAGAGAGAAGTGCCAAAGATTCAATTGAGAAGCATCTGATGCATCTGCAGATCCCGGAACATGGATGGTCACATCCCAAAGAAAAACAAGAAAATAATTCAAGTTGATAGCTGGATCTATTGAATTTAAATGCCAATCATGAATTTGCAAGTCCCATCTGTTGCAATTTCCATTGCAGAATGATGGATTGGAACGACGCGAGTCGTAGGGCAGCCAGATTGTCCTTGCTCTGGGGTCCCCTCGTCATGAAACACCTTAGGCCCATTTAATCTTGTCTACACTTATCTGAGGAAAATTTGTTAGTTTTCACCCTCTATGATTTTCTCTCTCTTTTCTGATGTGGGTACTGATCAGGAAACAAGTACAGAAGATAAGCAATAATACTGTGAATGAGGACAAAAGTTATATATATTTCTCCAACAGGCACATATAGCTATCATGCAAATAATAATAAATAGGACAGAGTAGTGTATGTATGGACGATGATGACCACACTGGGGGCTATCATAGAAAACACATTATTAGGCTTCTGCTAAGTAGGACAATAATAGAGGCTCCCAGTTGAACTATTTATGTGAGCGTGACAAAAAGGAGAAAAACTTAGTAGTATCTAACATTAATGTCGATAAAAATAAAAGAATAATGAACACGAAGCAAGGAGATGTATCAAGATTACTTGTGAGATTGGTCACTTTGCCGATTCGGATGATGTGCCCTTTTCACCACAGTAGAGAAAATGGAGGATGGATGGTCCCCTTACAATGAGTTATGTGGCAGGATCGATGGAAACGGTTATTGGAAACTACATATGGCATGTCGGAGAGAATCGGGGAGGTTAACGTAAATTAATAAGATTATTAAACTGCTGCGATAGATATACGAAAATTAAGGCACATTAAGTGTTAATCATTTTTAAACCATGGTCAAGATTTGGCTTCAAATTAATATCGTGGAACTGAAAATGACAGAGAGTCATAGAGTGGGGCTAGCCCTGAATCAACGGGACATGGGCACGCGCTGGTGGAGGACACATGTTGAAGGAACACGTCATGGACAGGGCTTGACGTATAAGATTATTCTAAAATGAAATTATCATTATGACTATCTCTACCAAAGCAAAAGATAATACAAATATATATATGATTGTGAGGATTAGGGTTTTTGCCTACAAGGATGAAACTTTTGTTAGGTGGAAGGAGGTGGAGGGAAGATGATGTTGGAGAATGAGTGACGGCTTGATATTCCTCCTCTCTGTGGCCAATAACTTGTTCTATCTCTCCCTCTTTTTCAAGCTTAGCTTTAATTTCTTTCTAATCGTTATATATTTTTCAGCCCCAATTTTACTTGCATAAGTTATGGGCTAATAACAAAAATGTATAATTTATATCAATTACGATCTGACGTAGCCTGAACTCTCACACTAATAATAATATATAGCACCTTTCTTTTTCCAATTTGCATGATTTGTTAGTAATTATTTGCTGGGTTTTGATGGGGTGGGGCCTTTGATTAAGGAGTTCATGAAGCTGTACGTGGACCCACGTGGCGTTCTCCCAATTCTAATGGCCTGAGATTAATATATAACTTCTTTTTCTCAATCCTTTCATGTGGGGTATGATCATTATCGACATCACTTTACGGGCCCACGATATTGTTTGAGTGTTCTTTCAGACTTTTTTAAACTTCACAAGAACAAATTTCAATAATTATCCTCATCTGATTCTGCATGACAAGCAAGTTCCTCAAACTTTTTAACCTCCAGCCGTGCTTGTTGGTTTATTAATCTACAGTTCCTCACTTGATTAATTGATAGTCACTTCTTCACTTTCTTTCGCTTCGTCTTTCCGAGAGAGAGATATATATATATATATATATATATATTTGATCTCCTTTCAATAAATCTCCTCCATGCATTCATTTCATGGCCTTTGCATTTATGTTTAATGAGAAAGACTCCAAGGATCATTTGTTTTGTCACTGCTAGCTACAAAGCTCGTAATTAATATCAATTAGCATATATATGAAGGTGGAAAATCACACTGTACACTCAACTCACACATTGATATATACATATGTATATATATGTAGAGAGAGAGAGATGATATATAGGAGACAAAGGGAGAGGGATAAGATAGAGAGGAGGGGTCAATTAAGCCTTCTTTATGTGGAAACTGCTTCCGGAATAGAAGCATATATCGGATTAGTTGTTTCTGTTTGCTTTATAGATTGATGATGCATAGGCAACGGATTCCAAAAATTGTGATAAACCATAATATATTAATGAGATAACGTTTGGAATACAACTTTAACCATAAATATGGCCATCTTTTCCACTTTGATTCCACAAACACCTTTTAGAAAGAAAGGCATCTTATTCACTTTATGCACTTTTTTGAAAATAAATCCATTTCTCTGATTAGATCGCTAATCAATGAGTAGCAGCCATTACTTTTACCCAACTTTATCTTCCTAAAGTAACTTTCTTTTAGAAGAAATTAGCAAACCGCGCAACTGTTTTCGTACTTGCAGCCCAAGAAAGAAACTTTAATTTGCACTTCCTGTGCTTGATTTAGGTGATTTTGTTTCTGAAGGAAAAATGCCATATCTTGTGATATATATATTCGTATTCTAGTTCCGCAAGCAAGATATATTCATGGAAAGTTAAAATGCTTGGAATGCGGGCGATGAAAATGTTAAGTTTTTATTTACCAAAATTAGAAAATGACCTTGTTTCAACTTTCATGGATGCCGACGATGCTTTGTTGATTTTCTTACGTTAATTGCCCCCTCGAAGGTTTTCGTGGATTAAGAATAAAATGTTCGGTGAATTTGTTCAATATCCAATATCTTCTTTTGGCCTCACAATATCCGATATCCAAATCCTAAGATTTCATGACGTTAAAAGTACCAGATTTTAGAATCCTTATCGGTCTGTATGTCAGCAAAGCTATATATTATCAAATCTATAAAATTTTATGAGTTATAAATTATATTATGTGGTTTTATAAAATTTAAATTAGAATATCAATATATGTAATAAAAATATATAAAAATCGTAATATTCATAAACCAGAAATAATTATATGACGTGAAGCCCACGATCTGATTAATTAGCAGATAAGTTTGCCTTCGCAATATCTTCTCAATTTTGTACCAATTCAAGGAACTACCAGTATCGGAGTTAATCTGAGTACTGGTAGTCATGGAAGCTATGTTCAATACTCGGTATCATAATTAATTTAGATTCGAGTTTGGTCAAGCTCTAAACAGGATATGGCTTCCCGACGACGTACTTTTATTATGAACTTTTTTCATTAAAAATGGTGTTCCGATCAATAATACACGAGTAAATGATTAATTTGACCAGGAAATTACAATTATTTCCAAAAATATATATGATATTATTGAATAATCACACACTGACACATGCTAAAAATGTTGCTAATATTGAATAGATCATTATGGACATAATTAAAGATAGGTTATCGGCGCATAAAAAATTGCTAATAATTATACTGCTGCTATAAATTAAAATTATACGAGAGAAATCATCAACATTAAAAAGTGACCATGAGGAATTTTAAACAGTGATCAAGCCTGGGAGATAAGTTACTGAATAAGAGGAGTGGATAAATGATTAGTCAGACAGATCCACAATTGAAGACTTTATGTCATTGTCGATTTATATATGGAACGAACATGAAAATAATTAAAAATGAGAGGATTAGAAATGCACATGAGGCCACATCTAGAGATTCTCGTGATAGCTAGCTTGAACGCGCAGGAAATTGATTTCTACAAGCATAAGCATCATCTCACGTATAATGACCTCAAATATATGATTGGCCATCACTTTAGGAAATACACAACACGAAATATATATATTTTCTATGGTGTAACTGGACAATCGTAATTTAATCATACAAATAAAATATATAAGGATTAAGTTCCGCCATGTAATCACATAAAATATAGCTAAAGCAAAGCAGCCAAACATGCA